TTGGCCCATGTGATGTTTTGATTCTAGTGGAATTGTTAAAAGATGAAAATAAAATCTTTCTGTAAGTAAAAGATCATTCCCTCACTCTCACCCTCTCTTTCTTTATCTCTCTCTAATGGTTGTCTAAGAATTGACCATTTCTACAGAGAAAATTTAAAAATTAAGGGGGAAAAGTCTTGATATTTATATTCTCTTTCTATTAAGAGAAAAACTCTCTAGGGAAAAATTTCTCTATACTCATCCCAGGTTAATTTATCATTTGGGTTGCTCATGTCTGGTAAGCCACTGCCTATGTGATGGCTTACTGCTTCAATGTTAAAAATCAGAATGAGGCCAATTCTAGTGAATAGAGGTCCACACAATTGCTGTTTTTGTTGGTTCCTCTGTACAAAGTCTAAGAATGGGGGGGAGGGGAGGGAACCTGGCAACACAACAAAACATCTCTGACTGCCATCGTTTCCTGCAGCATATACAGAAGCATGTGTTTGATGGGGGGTGGAGAAGAGCATTTCTTCTTACTTTCCCTCAGTAAAGGAGCTTAGTTCCATTAAGCAGTGTTGGGAAGTATACTGGAGATCGTATATTTAAAATTAATTTGAAAGGTAAAGTGTTTTTAGTGCCTTTTAATATAAACAAAACTTGATTTTATTAAAATGCTTTCAGATGTTACGATACAATGATTTATCATTCCAAGTCTGCAGCATAACTTCCTTTCCAAGTATATTGATTTTTAAATGTATTTAGGAAGTGGAAAAAGAACCAAAACAGTCTACCGAAATTCTTCACCCTCCCACTTAAACAGAACCAGGTCCATTACGTCAACAGAGTCTATTTCAAAATAGTACAGAAAAATTATTTTTTCAAAAGGATAGAATTAGCCAACTAGAAATGTTTGTTAAGCAACAAAGGAGAGGTCATACGCTTCTGAGCTGTGTTTTGCTGAGTTGAAACATGAAATGTCAAATATTGATAATATTCAAAGTTAACTACACTGAATCATTGAAACGTCTGAAATATTGACATGGATTATCAATATTATTGGAGTCTTTACAGAAACTAGAAACTTCTATGTTCATTGTTAACATGAAAAATGCAAAACATTCTATTTCTCTTCAGATTCAGTACCTAGATAGAATTAATTTAAAATTTGAAGCATTTTTAGGAGAAAACTTCAGTGTTGTAGAAGTTAAACATGGGGCAAAAACCATACTTGTCACTTTTTCCCATGTTTTCTGTTAAGGACATAATGGTTGCTAGCTTAGGTGTTTAACTGAACTCAGAATAAATGTCTCTGCAAAAAATGGAATTTTAATTGTTGGGCTGCTTAGCTGTTTCAGTGATGCTCATTCAGAATGCTATGTTCAATATGTAGCAATAATTGTATATATTTTTCCTAGCTTGTGATATAAGGTATTATGTCTTTTGGTGTAGTATTCTTCTAACAAGATTATCTGATTTCAAATAAAGAACCCACTTCAGAGCGCAGCTTAAATATAAAGACTATCATATGAGGATTAGAACTAGTGTGATTTTCAGTTATGCAGCTTGGTATTAGCTCTATTGTTATTTTCCAGGCAACATGAAAGAGCATATTTGTTTCTAGTGCCTGGCTTTTCTACATCTTCCCTTGCATCTGTGATAGTGGAAGGAAAGAACAATGCAAATTGTAAGGTAAAATCCACAGAAGATCCCAAATCACTGTGGTTAGTAGGCAGAGGCATGACAGTGTTGGTGTTACGAACAGACACTGGAGTGCGGTGTATTTGGACTTAAGTCTGAATATTGAATAGTTGTCCGACTTGGGCAGTTACTTAACCTCTGCAGGTTGAAGTTTCAGAGTCTTCATGTGTAAGAGGAGGTTTGCTAGAGGTTTAAGTATATGTGTGTGTGTGTGTCTGTATGTATATGTATACATGTATATGTACCTATAGTTAAGATATATATATATATTTTATATGTATGTATTACTTACATATGGATATACATTTACTTAAGATTAAATATATCTTACTTAAGATATATACATCTTACTTAAAACTATATATACTTACTTAAGATGATATGTATCTACTTAAGATGTATATATGATCTATATTCATTTAAGATATAAACATGGATATATACATATATTTACTTCAGATTTTACATATATAATAGGGCAACATTTCTTGGCAGGTGGTGTTACTTAAATATGACTATATTGACTTGTCACTTCATAATTAACTTCTAATAAGTTAATTGAATTGATTGATCTGATGGTTCTTTCCCTGTTTCTTCTTTAAGGTTATAGCAAAATGTCAATTAAGAAATTGAGTAAATATGTAATGAGAAGCCCTACAAGTCAATAGACAGAATAATCACTTCCTGAATACATATGAATGAAGTCTCTGTAGAACTAGCTGAGGGGCTGTTCATGGGCTTTTGTTTTAGGGCTTATGGATTGATATTCCAGGGACAGACCTGATGAGAGCCCTTCTAGCCTCCACCTCTCACCGCCTAGTACTACAACAGTACTACAACTAAGCTGGAGCTTCATAAGGACAGAGAATTTTGCCTGTGTTGGGCCATTGCTGTATCTGCAGAATTCAGGCAAATGCTTTGCAAATAGTGGGTGCACAGGAACTATTTCTTGAATGAATTGAATGGGTAGAGACCTTGACCTTTTCTTTAAAATAGGATTAGCTTTAGAAACAAGACAAACAGGGTCACTTGGGTGATTCAGTCAGTTAACCGTCCAACTTCAGCTCGGGTCATGATCTCGCTATTTGTGGGTTCAAGCCCTGTGTGGGGCTCTGTGCAGACAGCTCAGAGCCTAGAGCCTGCCTCAGATTGTGTCTCTCCCTCTCTCTCTGCCACTCCCCTGTTCATGCTTTCTCTCTCAAAAATAAACAAACATTAAAAAAAAACAAGACAAACAAACAAACAAAAAATAACAGGTTCTCCCCCTTTTTGACAGATTTCTTACCCCAAGAATGCTGGTAAGCAGGAAAGCAGGGCTGAGGAGTAGCAGGTGAAGGACCTGAGTGCAACCTTTACACTTTACAAGTATTCTAGAAACCAAGGATTTGGTTAAGCATTCACAGGAATGTGTGGTGTGGAGTGGTGCCACACTTGACCCAGATTCCGGTGCATGTGTCACATTTGTATTACAAATATTTTGTCCAGCACCTAACTTTAGTGTTCATACTTACACTTTGTCCTTGCCAAGGTTTTCAGAAATCCTTTATCTATGACCAGTGTCATAAAGTGATGTTTTTACTTTCTGCTAACATTTAGCTTACTTTTTTTAAAAAAAAGTTTATTTTTGAGAGAGAGAGAGACAGAGTGCAAGCAAAGAAGGGGCAGAGAGAGAGGGAGACACAGAATCTGAAGCAGGCTCCAGGCTCTGAGCTGTCAGCACAGAGCCCAATGCGGACCTCGAACCTACAAACCGCAAGATCATGACCTGAGCCAAAGCCGGACGCTCAACCGACTGAGCCACCCAGGCGCCCCTCGCTTACTTTTAATAGCTGCTCTTCAACTTTGGCCAGCTAAAATAATCAGTGTGACACGATCCATTTCACAGGTGGGGATGATTATATTGCATTACTTATAAGTTAGCTTGCAACCTCAGAGAGTGGATTAAAATAACATTCTCAAAATTTTTCCTGACAATCATCTAAATACATATTCATTTTTACTGCCATAGTGAACATTTTCTGAAAACAGAAATAAGCCCCTTTCGTCGTACAGACGAGCTAACAGCTTGAAGTGGAAACCATTCATTTGTACATACTGTAAGTTTTCCTAATTATCTTTGTAATGAAAACTGAGAAGGTATTAGTCATCCTTTGCTGAGCCATGCTCAATTCTACTTGTCATTTCTAACTATAATAAAAACAACAAACAACCTTAAAGTACATTATTAATTGATTAGGCATGATTAGATAAAATGGCTTTTATCATCTCATTTAACTTTGGAGTTTCCAGACATTAATAATGAGTCACCAAAAAGCTATCACTGATTTATAATGCACATTACCACATCAAGGTTTGGCCCCAAAACTCTGTGGGCCCAGAAGCAAAAAGAAAGATGTTTATAAGTGAGCCATTGCAGAAATACGCTGAAAACATATATCTGTTTTCATGATAAACAATTAAGCCAAAGGTGAGTATAATGAACATTCAGGTTCATTTTATTCCAAGGAACAATTTCTCTTCCTGAAGTTCCATGTAGAAAGAGTCCATAGGGTTAGAACACTATTGGTGGTATAACTTTGCTTGGCCTTTGGGCATACAAGGTAAACGTTTTACAACAAAATTTACAGCCATAGATAACACACAGGATCTGATCAGTGTCAACACACTTGGCATTTAAGGCGAATCCACGTTGGAAAACAATCATTTCCAGGATGGAGATCAAATATCTTAACACAGTGTCACCTGTCTGAGTTTAAAAATGTATCCATAGGATGTGTTTTCACATTTGTCAGTTTCTTTCCACTTGTGTACTAGAGGGAGGCACTTCAAGAGCCATTAACTGTAGTTTTAGGCATACAAGATACTGAATTTCAGCAGTGATTGGTTAAATATGGCAAGGAATTAAAGTGAACTTGGATTAAGAAAGTAAACAAGTCATTAAATCAGAAGATTTTGCCAAATCTTGTAAGATCACTCATTTCTGATCTGAATAACCTCCTCACTTAAAAAAAAAATACTAGTAGTTATCACCCACCCATGCCCAAAAAAGTGAATATACTACAGCTTCTGACGTTAAGGTATAATGGTTTTGCTATAGGGGCTCATACGGGGTTTTAAATATTGACAAATACTTTATGCTTTGAGTAACATTTCAAAATATTGTATTATGCATAGGTTCCAAAGTGTCATAAAAACTAAAAGGTCCAATAAAACATATTGGAAGAGTTTAGTAAAACGTATAAAAATTAAAAGGCTAAAAAAACCCACTCTGTTTTAAACGTGTAAAAATAAATCCAATTGGTTCGTGGGAATCCAGTGACTTTTTTTTTTTTGGTCTTATTTAGTTGGTATGTACTGCACCCGCCACAACACGTTGGAAAGTAGGTCCTGGTACACACTAAGGAATATCCAACCAGGTAAATACATCAGGGTGATGAGGCCCATGAAATTGAGCGGGTAGTGAGAATAGTCCCAGGAGCAGGCGCCGCACGTGCGCAGTCCCAGACCCCAGGACAACTCCCATACGTAGATGAAGATCACGTAGATGGGCACCCGCTTCCAAGTGCTCCAGCCACGACGGCGGTGCAGGTGGAAGTAGAGCTTTTCCACCACGAAACTGCAGCTGCCATATATAAAGAAGGACCAGAGGGACGTGTGGCCGCTGGTAGCCCCGGCTCCCGGCTCCAGTAAGTTAAAGAAGAAAGTGAAGAAGATCTCATCCAAAAAGCCGTGCATTCCGAAGAAAAGAAAGCGGAGCAGGTCCGGCAGCCCCTGACCGGAGGCTCCTCCAGCGCCCTGAGTGTCTCGGGGTGGTCGCCTCCGGCCGCCTGCAACCGCGGGGGCCCGGGCTCCCTGAGGGGCGGGGGGCGCGCGGGGCCACGGCTGCTGCGGCTGCGGCTCTGGCTGCCGCCGGTACCGCAAGCGCAGGAAGCGCTTCAGGAACACATGGCAGTGGTAGAGCGCCAGCACATACTGCAGCGCTAGGTCCAGTGTGCCCGGCGCCGCCGCGCCCCCCGGGCCGCTGCGCAGGACGAGCAGCGGAGCCTGGCCCGCGAGCGTCTGCAGCGCCACGTGGGCCGACGGGTAGACGAGAAAATTGAAGAGGAAGGCGCTGGGGCAGCGCCGCTGCTGCAGGTAGACCTTCTCCAGGGCTAAGTGGGTGAGCGAGTGCAGCAGGCAGCGGTAGGGCGAGGAGAAGCCCACCATCCGGAGGTCCGGGCTGCTGGCGAAGCGCCGAACCGAGGACACGAGCACGTCCAGGGTGATCCCGTGCATCCCGTAGAAATAGAGGCGAATCCAGGCGGGCAGCGCAGCGCCGTCCGCCGGCGCTTCAGCAGTGGACAGCGGCTCCGGGTTGCCGGCGGCCGCCTCGCCTCCCCGCCCGCCGGGGGCCCCGGGACGCCGCGCCGCGCCGCTCCTGCGCGCCCGGCCCTCGCGGTCCGCGTCGCTGCCCGCCATGGGCTCAGGGCGGTGGGGACGCCCGAGCCCGCGCCGCCGCCGCCGCCGCCGCCGCCGCAAGGTGCGCGAAGCTGCGGGGCGGAGCAGCCCAGCCCCGCGCCGCCTCCCGGCCGCTGCCAGCCCCCGGGGCGCGCGCAGGGGGCTCCGTCCCCGCCGGGCCGGAGCTGGTGTGCTCCGGGGGACGCGCGGGCCGCCCGGCTGCCGGAGTACCCCCGCCGCGGCCCCACCGCGCCCTGCCCTCCAGTCCCGGGCGCCGAGCAGCCGGCCCGCGCCCGCGCTCACTCTGCGCGGCCTAACGCGCGCCGCGGCCCGGCGAGGGGCGGTGGCGCCGGGGCTGCGGGGAGCGATGCGGAGGCAGCTGCAAGCCCCATCTCCGCCGCGGCTCTGCCCCGCGGCTCCTGAAGCGTAAAGCCAACAGTGACGCCCCTTCCCCCGGCCCTCCCCATGCCCCCTCTCCGCCCGCCGCGCAGGGCCCCGTCCCCGCCCCACCCTCCGAGTGGATCCCGCGGGGGTCCGCTGGGGGAGAAGGCCGGGCCCTGCCTCTCCGCCCCCTTCCGCCAGCCCTGCACTCTGGTCCCCAGAGGTGCTGGGCGGAGGCGGGAGTGGAGAAACACCTAACAGGTGTGACTGCGAGCGGATGGGCACTCCCGGTGTCGCGGAAACTAGGGCAAGGGCCTGGCTGGCAGACGCCAATGGCCTGGTGCCACAGACCAGAGGCCGGGCCTGAGACCAAACTGCCGTGCTCTGTATTTAATGTTCTCGTTCAAAGCCAGCTGTGTCCCAGTCACAAAGAGTCAACACGAGACTCCATGCCTGCGGACCCCGGCATCTGAAATGTTGCCACGGCAGGTGGTCCACTGTTTCAAGCTCTCTCCCTGACCAGTCTGCTTTCCTAGGTTGGCTTACTGGGGCCCAAAGGCCGAGTCAAAGCCCCTCAGAATTAGGAAATGATTTGAGGCCAGGAGCGCTGGTCATTGCTAGGGCTGCCGCGGAGTCTCACATCAAGAATAGTACCTCGGCTCAGGCTGGCACACCCCGGTGCTGCCTTTTCTCCTTGCAGAACTAGGTCATCCCAGAAATGGGGAGTGAAACAGAGGGTGAGGATTTTGGTGTTTTTTTTTTTTTTTTGCTTTTGAGATAGAGAGGGTGGGAGAATCTAAAATTTTGGTGTCTTGGGGGCTGCACTTTTTAAAAACCCAATTATGATTCAAGCTTAGAATTGAAAAGAACCTTATCATAGGTAAAATACACTGATTTGTTACCCTCCAAGTCCCCACCATCATGTCTAGAAGAAACTAGATTAACTGTTCTAATCTGTAAGGCGATGGGCTTTTCCTTGGCTGGAAGGCTTTCTGGAGATTTTTTTTTCTTCTTCTGGAGAATAAATATTCTGACGCTGTTCCTCCATTTCTTAAAGCAATCTCCTCCCCACTCTCCCCTTATGTTACAGTCTATAGTTCCTAAATGATTTGTGATTTAGGTAAGAAAATAAAAGTATGATGAAAAGAAAAATGGTTAAAGTAACAGCACTTGTATCAGGTGAAAGTAATGACTTATGTATGTATTTTTGGCTTTCTTAGTATGTGGCTTAGTTGCAGACTTCTTTGGCAACTGTCAGAGTCAGTGGATGGAAAATGTCATGCCAGGGACAGGAGCCTCAGGTAGCAGGCTCAACAAACCAGTTGCAAAATCAGAGACGGGGTTAGTTGCTCAGGTGACAGAGCAAGTACAATAAAGACAAATAATAATGTGTTAAAAAACAAAGCGCAACTGGTAAATTTGAAGACCTATTCGCCTTCAGTCAGAGGTTCATGAATTGGGCAGCATCCCATTTAACAAACAGAAATGATCTCCAAGGAGCTGTGTGAAGTGGAAGACGTTTGTAGGCAGAAACATGGAGGGACATGGGAAGTTGTGAGTAAAAGAAAAGAAAATTGTTTTAGGCAAGGTCACCTTCCTTTGGGAGGGTGGGGGGTCTTTCACACATATTTAGTGCTCATCAGGAAATTCCAGATTGAGTGACTGAAGGTCACATTTCTGTAATTAAGTTTTGGTTTGCTGTCACGGGGGAGAGTGTCTCCATACCGAGACTGTTATTCTTTTTAAACACTGTAAACATTTTCATGAGCACTTACCATATCCAAATGCTAAACACACTGGGAAAATAGAGGGTTCTGAGATGTACTCTTCAAGAAGTATATGATCTAATTGATATGACAATAATCTATCATACATTTCACAGGGCTCCTGGGTGGCTCAGTTGGTTAAGTGGCTGACTCTTGATTTCACCTCAGGTCATAATCTCACGGTTTGTGAGATTGAGCTCCTCATCGGGCTCAATTTGTGCTATCTCTTTTTCTCTCAAAATAAATAAATAAATAAACTTAAAAAACATATTAATAACAAACCTATCATATCTGTGTAAAGCCTATTTATGATTATTATTAATAATAACTACTTGTGATCAGCTAGTTGTACTGTAGTTTCCCTTATCTGCAGTTTCGCTTTCCGTGGTCCAGGAGCAGATGCTCTCTCTTCTGACATATCACCAGAAGGTCAGTCGTAGCCTAACATTATGTCACTCTCCTCACGTCACACAGACATTTTATCCTCTCACATCATCAGCAGAAGAGGGAGTATGATACAGTAAGATATTTCGAGGGAGAGAAACCACATTCACATAACTTTTATTACAGTATAATGTTACAATTGTTCAATTTTATTATTGTTGTTAATCTCCTATGGGGCCTAATTGATAAACTTTATCATAGGGAAGTATGCATAGGAAAAAACATAGTATATATGGTATATATACTCAATACTATTGGTTTCAGGCATCCGCTGGGGGTCTTGGAATGTACCTCCTGTGGCTAAGAGGGAGGGGAAGCTGTTATACATACCAACAAATACATTTCTTTGAGTTATTATTTTACTATACAAACCCAAGCCTAGGCCAAATTTATCAGATACTAAAAAAAAATACACTCATTCTCCATAGCTGCCACTCCAGCAAGGGACGATAGCATCATCATATAGCATAAATATAGCCATTTAAACATGCATACACAGATTTACTATACTAAACTTGAATCGTTTTCTAATACTCAAGTAAACTTCAAGGGCTCAAGTCTATTTATTCTAATTTTTCTTTTAAAAATGTTTATTTATTTTTTAGAGAGAGAGAGGGACACAAGAGAATCCCAAGCAGGCTCAGCACTGTCAGCACAGAGCCCGATAAAGGGCTCTAACTCATGAACAGTGAGATCATGATCTGAGCCAAAATCAAGTTGGTCACATAATGACTGAGCCACCCAGGCACCACATATTTACTCTGTTTTTTTTCTTAAAGATGACAAGGAAAACCTTGAAAGGTCTAATTCTATAGTTCAGTCTAGTTCATCCCAGGGAATGAAGGAAAATCTTTTGGATTAAACAAAAAAATTAGATCTTCGGTGTCTGTATTTTTAATCGCAGCACTTAACAAGATTACTGTTTTGTGTACCATACATATCTTATATATTATATTAGTCTAATAGGACATGTATAACATGTATGCGTGTATAGTACACATGCATTTGAAACATGCTAATTTTTTAAATGAGGGAAAATATCATAAAAAGCTTGTGTTTCCCCATTGTTGTCAATGTAGTGTTCTGCTGAGTGGGTTAGATTACTAAAAATCTCAGTGTTCTGGGTCCTTTTATGAATCTGTTTCTCATCTATTTTAGGAGAAGTGATGCAAAATATAAATCAATAGTTATAAATCCATAGCAGAATATGCAACTATCACTTGTTATTCTATGCTATTTTTTAATATTTTTGTGATGGCCTCTCCTTAGTTACACCACTTCACAATGTATGAAACACTAACCTATAAAAAAAGTAGAGATGGGGCGCCTGGGTGGCTTAGTTGGTTAAGCGTCCGACTTTCGCTTAGGTCATGATCTCGCGGTTCGTGGGTTCGAGCCCCGCGTCGGGCTCTGTGCTGACTGCCAGCTCAGAGCCTGGAGCCTGTTTCAGTCTGTGACTCCCTCTCTCTGACCCTCCCCTGCTCACGCTGTGTCTCTCTCTCTCTCTCCTAGAAATAAATAAAACATTAAAAAAAAAAAAAGTAGAGGTGCACCTGGGTGGCTCAGTCGGTTAAGCACCGACTTCGGCTCAGGTCATGATCTCATGGTTCGTGTGTTGAAGCTCTGCCTTGGCCTCTGTGCTGGCAGCTAGCTCAAAGCCTGGAGCCTGGTTCAGATTCTGTGTCTCCCTCTCTCTCTTACCCTCCCCTGCTCATGCTGTGTGTATGTCTCTCTCTCTCTCAGAAAAAAAAAAAATTAAAAAAAGTAGAGGGGCACCTGGGTGGCTCAGTCCGTTGAGCGTCCCACTTTGGCTCAGGTCATGATCTCATGGTTTGTGAGTTCGAGCCCTGTGTTGGGCTCTGTGCTGATAGCTCAGAGCCCAGAGCCTGCTTCAGATTCTGTGTCTCTCCTTCTCTCTGCCCATCCCATGATCATGTTCCATCTCTCTCTGTCTCTCAATGATAAATAAACGTTAAAAAATTAAAATAAATAAATAAATAAAGTAGAAAAATAAAGGATAAAAAGAAAAGTCTTTAAAAAGGCAGGAGACCAAGGACTGGAAGAATACCCACTGTGAAAGTTGCCATTAATTCTTTCATTTATTGTCTCATTTTAAAAAATGAGTATCTTTTACCATTCTGAAAAGTTAGCCCACCAATGATACCAATCTTTGTTTCTGCTGTATCTTCACATTGTTCTTTTGTTTTAAATGTTTCATTGCTGGGTTTCCAAAAAGAAAACAGTAGCACAGCTTTAATGATCCGTGATGATCTTATAATTTACAATCCTCACATTGAAATGATCATAAAATGCTTAAAGGCATTTCTGTGTTGGCCTTTGCTACTGCAAACATTAAATACATCTGTAAACCCAGCAACTTATTGGGAATTGGTGGGCCTGAGGATGAGGGGACTTTAACAGTATAGAACA